CCCAAAACCCCAAAACCCCAAAACCCCAAAACCCCAAAACCCCAAAACCCCGTGGGAATAAGATTTTGCTGAGAAATAATTTAATATTGTCAGAACCGTTTTTGAAGTGATCCAATAAATATCCATTTAGATGCTTTAGATTTGAAGTTTCACCACTCCTCCAGATCTTTTGGAACGTCCGTTAGGAGGGTTCAAAGAATCAAAATTGGCCTCTTTTTTTAAATACAAAACCCTGAATAAAGCAAGAAGAAATTGAGTGCAGACTTTGGAGAGAAGGTTCTAATCTAAGCTAAAATTCGTATAAAACAAAGAACCAATTGATATCGTTTAGTTGTGGAAATTTTACAATGGTAGTAAATAGATATTAAAAAATTTACATCATATCGTCTCCTTCTTCATCTTCATCGTATTCGCCTTCTTCTTCAGCAGTGGCATCTTGGTATTGTTGATACTCACTGACTAAGTCATTCATGTTAGACTCGGCTTCAGTGAACTCCATCTCGTCCATACCTTCTCCTGTGTACCAATGCAAGAAAGCTTTCCTCCTGAACATGGCTGTGAACTGTTCAGCAACTCTCTTGAACATCTCCTGGATGGCAGTTGAGTTTCCTACAAATGTTGATGCCAACTTAAGTCCCTTAGGAGGGATATCACAGACAGAGGACTTGATATTGTTAGGGATCCATTCAACGAAGTAAGATGAGTTCTTGTTTTGTACGTTGAGCATTTGTTCATCAACTTCTTTAGTAGACATTCTTCCTCTGAACATGGCAGATGCAGTCAAGTATCTTCCATGTCTTGGGTCACTAGCGCACATCATGTTCTTAGCGTCAAACATCTGTTGAGTAAGTTCTGGGACAGTCAAGGCTCTGTATTGCTGTGATCCTCTTGAAGTAAGTGGAGCGAAACCAATCATGAAGAAATGAAGCCTTGGGAATGGGATCAAGTTTACTGCCAACTTCCTTAAGTCTGAATTTAGTTGACCAGGGAATCTGAGACAAGCAGTTACTCCTGAGATACATGCAGACACCAGATGGTTCAAGTCTCCATATGTGGGAGTGGTAAGCTTTAGCGTTCTGAAACAGATGTCATACAGAGCTTCGTTGTCGATAACCATGACTTCATCAGCATTTTCTACTAATTGATGGACTGAAAGGGTCGCGTTATATGGCTCAACAACAGTATCCGAAACCTTAGGAGATGGAAAAACTGAGAAGGTCTCCATGATTCTATCTGGATACTCTTCTCTGATCTTTGAGATCAACAGGGTTCCCATTCCTGATCCAGTTCCTCCTCCAAGCGAATGAGTAATCTGGAATCCTTGAAGGCAGTCACATCCTTCAGCTTCCTTCCTGACAACGTCAAGTACGGAATCAATAAGCTCAGCTCCTTCAGTGTAATGTCCCTTGGCCCAGTTGTTTCCTGCGCCAGTCTGTCCGAACACAAAGTTGTCTGGTCTGAAGAGTTGTCCGAATGGTCCAGCTCTGACTGAGTCCATAGTTCCTGGCTCAAGATCCATCAGCACAGCTCTTGGAACGTATCTTCCACCTGTAGCTTCATTGTAGTATACGTTGATTCTTTCTAACTGGAGGTCTGAATCACCATGATAAGTACCAGTTGGATCAACTCCATGTTCGTCTGAGATAACTTCCCAGAACTTAGCTCCAATCTGGTTACCACATTGGCCACCTTGCACATGAACAATTTCCCTCATCGCAGTTAAATTTATTTATTATTTATGTATGAATTTACTAGCATAAATATGTTCAATTAGAGCATTACGCTACGGGGTTTTGGGGTTTTGGGGTTTTGGGG